GCGGCAAACTGATTCCTTCAGGATGGTCTAGTCTTCTGTGTCTCAAGCACATATTCTAACGAAAAACAAAGATCAACGATCCTCTCAATGAGTACCGGTATATGCAGTAAAAGAATATAAATAAGTGAGTAAATATGAATTATCATTATACTACCGTTAAGGAATTATACCTTTGTCATTATCTCTGTTGTTTTGAGGTCAGTTAAGAGGTGCTTTGAACAGCAGATTGGTCAACATATTTTCGGTAGTTTTCTCAGCTAAGTCAGTATAGATTCAAGCAGACCCGAGTACTTTGGGCTTGATTTAAATGATCTAAAATGGCTTAAAAAATATCGAAGTTCGTACTATCTTTTGAACCCAAATTGTGAAAATTGTATTGCTGTCACTTAGGCGCCGGATTCACGAAGCATGCTAGCGGTGAATAAAGCTCTTTCCTATGCAGTTTTTAAATGACTCTTTTGGTGCTAAGATCAAAACAAGGCTGCACTGCTTGCAATTGTGTAAGATTTTAATGCTTCTAATCATGTCTAATGCGCAGTCCTTCTAGATAAAGAAAACGAAACGTAAAACAAAGGCTTTGAATGAGCTTCCTAATTTCAATTTGGCGAATTTTTGTTAATTTTTTATCGCATCGCTTTCCAGTTAAATTTAACTTTAATTGCTTGTTCTGTCTCCAGTTGCAAGGAGCCAAGTCAATAAGCAAACAGACCTTCTTAGCTTCTGTTTTGTTTTCCCGATGCAGGTCAAGTGATAATACTCCAGAAAACTGTTTGTTTCAAATAGCTTTATATTCACGAGCATATGTACGCATAATTTATGAAAAGACTCCGGGGGCAAATTCCCCTGGGACCCTCATTAGGAAAACAAAACATACTAGCTGAAGAGATCTATCGATGAATACCGTTTAGCCGAACCGCAGCCGGGCGCAACAAAATGCTTGCAAAAACGAAATTTCGCATCTTTAGACAGTTAATCGCTGACATTTCAAAACGAAATGTCGGAGATAGAGTATAGACAATTGGACGAAATTCTGCAAATTTTGTCCTCAAGTCTTTTTCACAGTACTGTGGGTATACATGTATATATATCCTATTAAAAGTTAAGCCTACTTTAGAGTAGACTTACATGTAGGATATTTGCAAATAGGACATGTTCTGAAATTAATGTCCTAATGTTCCCAAGTTGTATCTCAGGATATATCTTAGGCAGATTTCTTATTAATGGATTAGCCTATTTATATCTTTTGTTCAGTGTTTGCAATCTTTATTATAATTTCCGCGGTTTTTCTTAAATTTCCTTGTTTTTTTGCTTAAAAAGCTAGATTGGTAGCTCTGTTATGTTGTCAGAGAGACTTTGAAAGCGATCGAGACTCTAATGATCCATCTCACCCTTGAAAAAGTCCAGATGCCAAGGAGTGAATTCTAAAATTGTCTGGTTTGAATTCAATGACTTGAAATTTGTTTATGAACCAAGTTTTAAATGCAAAAAAGTTTTGGAATATCAACTGAAAATGTGTAAGTTTTGGTGGTATCAGTTTGAACAGAGGTAAAAAATAATAATTTCGAAGAAAGTGAAAAAGCAACTGTAAGGCCAGAGTTAAAGCAGAAAACTGAGTGACCCCAAATTCCGGCAACTATGAAAACAGCAATCAATTATCGGAAATAACAAAAGACCACACAAAAGACGCATATAAGTAAAATTAGACTTTATTGTGCTTTCTTGCATGCAGAGCATCGCAATAAAATGTAAAAATGCGTTATTTATGCGGCATTTTTACTTGTTCATTGAATCAAGCCCAGAGAAACGTATCATACGCCATGCGGTTTCAAATATTGTCTCCGGCTAAGCCAAAAAAACTATCGAATGAATGTTGACCAATTTTTGCCCATATTTGCAGCACCTCATAAACTCTCCTAGCCTTATAAACTGTTCACAAGATCCAATTACTCCTTTATACTAAATATCAGTCCTATATACCTGCCAACTCTCACGCCTGCGGGTTGAAAACTTCGATCTCACGCCCGCTCACGCCTGCGGACCAATTTCTCACGCCTGATTGAAAAATGTGAGTTGTTGCCGTCTTGCTTGACACAATTTCCAAAAATATGTTAACTCAGACCCATGTAAGGAACGAAAACCATGTGTAAAATGAATAAATGACAATAACTTCCTCGCGATCTCTGATTTTGTGGATAAGCGTTTTCTTGATAACTTCGCCTTCGGCAGACTTCGGACGTCTTCGGAGGACTTCGGACTTCTTCGGGAATCTTCGGAAATGATCGTGTCATTTTAAAAAATCCCAGCACTCCCAGGATAAAAATCTCACGCCTGCATCTCGGAAAAAGTTGGCAGGTATAGTCCTATGGTTGGCTAAAATTTTACCTGAATTGATTTTAAATTTAAAGGATCATAGCAACATGCGAGTTATTTGATCTTTTTCAACAACCTGCAGAAAGTAGCGCTTCTGAGAGAAATAAAATTCAATTTATATTGGGAACAGTCAATTAAAAAAACTGAGAATATGTAAAGTCAAATGGTTTTGTTTTATGCCAACATGTAGAATATTTTTAGAAATAGCCCAAATAAAAATTCACCAATTGGTTAAATTAATTTTTTTTCCGACGCATATTCGGCTTTTTTCGTCCCCAGTTGTAAAACAAATTAATAGTCTAGTCTATAATATTAAATATACTTATCTGCTGGCTTTCTGTTCGCCTGTCGGAAAAGACTTTCCAAGGACTCTGTACGTGCAGTGTTGAACGGAAGCGAATGGGATTTCTTTGAATGAGCCATCAGTTTTACAGATTCAGTTTCTGTGTGACAAGACAAGATATATTAGCCAAGTAATTAATTTCATTGTTACGTTTAGTCTTCACAGATTTTCCTGGCTCATTCCTATGCATCATTATATTCCATCAAAGTTGGTGAATACTAATTTACCGACGCCGACAAGCACAAAAGGGGACAAATTCTTATTTGTTTAATTCTCGTCACTTTAAAGCAAATGTCTTCCGTTTCATTCGTACTTTTCTATTGTAAAATGAAATCATAATTAACACCAGATCGGCGCTCTAGATAAGTATTAATTTGAGACCATTATAATCCATAAAAAATGAATTAAAACCCAAGAAAGAAATGTCCATTTCAGTTGGAAAGAAGAACAAAAGCTAGTTTTGGTTACAATGCCGCTACATTTAGATACTTTTTCGCTACAGAAAATGATTTCTCGGGGATTAAGAAACAGATTCTAGCTAGAAAGATCTAGGAAAAACGTTGAGGTTAAAACTTTTGATTACCTGACATAAACAGAGACTGGACAAAGGACAAAGTCAAATGAAAGAAACGGAGCAGCAACTCAAGTTTACTTGTACTTGGCTATCGTGGGATATAAGAGTTTGGCCGCGAACTTCAGTCAACACGTGCCGCCTTTACTTTATAACAAATTGCAGTTACAGATCTAGAGACAGGCTCTGATGTATAAACCTCTGAGAGAAATGACTTATTAAAAGAACAAACCTGTTATAGTCTTGACTGATGTAGCACAAATTAATCCACACGAGGTAAAACCACAGCATTTAGGTCGCTTTTCCAGACACTACTTTCAGTTCTAATACTGGGTGTGTTCCTTGGTTTTATACCCTCTGGTATAAAGGCTAATTTATTCAGCTCAGTCAAGAAACACTTTTCACAGAGTTGAAAAAAAAACAAAAGGAAGTTTTACTTCATGATTGTTCCAAGAAATGTAAAACCCCACCTCGCAACCTGTTGTTTTCGGCCTGTCGGAATTTGCTACACTGTTTTGTACAATGTAATTAATCCTCTACCATTGGGATTTGGTAGCTCATTGCATAATGCGCCCAGAGAATTTTGCAAGCACATTGCCACCCTTATTTTTCATGGTATTAAGAAGAGAACGGTGTTTTCTCTGTCTAGATTGCGGTGGCGGTGCTAGTTTTGTGACGCTTGTTTCGTTCACTGATCAGTCCTTACTGTTGGGAGTACAAATAATGCTACTCTTCTGGAAATTTTCTCTTCTTTTTCCTTGTATGACATAGCGAGGGCAAAACAAGATGCATTTTAGTGGGTTTTGAATAAAAACGCCTTTACCCGTTGATGAATCGTCTAATTTTCGCCCTTGGGGAAAATGCCAACATGAGGTGAGAAAAGATCATCATCATTTGTTTCCTCTTTAGCTTGTCATTGGTGTAACACAAACGCTGATTTATATTAGCCGGGACAAAAAAGTCTCAAAAATCTGACTGCGTTTTATTAATGACACTCGATCAGCAGGGAAGCTTTTAACCTTTAGAACCACAGACCATGCAAAAAATAATCCTTTCAAACCCTGCAACAACCGCAGAATGTGCTTTTGACCAGCCAAAGATTATAAAAGCATCGAAGAAGGCCATATTTACAACATGTCTGACGCATTCACATTAGAAAAAACTTGAGATGACCTATTTAACTAAAACCGAGCTCAACAAGCTCAAAATAATTAACAGGGATCAGATTCTGCAATATAATGAACGGAATTGTTAACCCCTATTAAGATGTAGCCAGGTATACTGAGTTGTTAAGTCAAACTGTCGCAGCTGATAATCTGCAGTAAGCAATTTAGAATAAGTTTCAAACGTTTCTGCTCTTTCCATATAGCTTCACTTAGATGTTTTTTGCATTATTATATCCTTTGGGTTAGTATTATACCTCTTCCAAGTTTATTTGTATAGCAGTTGTATAAGTTGGGGTTGAATTATTTTATCCTTGGTTTAAATTTTATTTTCCTTTCTTTTGGGGTATGGTAATGTATGATAATAAGTTTGAAACAAAGGAAAATAAAATTTAAATCAAGTATATTATTGAACCACATTATATGTAAGATCCTATTATCAGATCCCAAGCGCCAACTGAACCCAACTGGGTGGAGACTTTAGTATAGCTTCTGTTCATTTGTTCGTGACGATTCATGATCATTACATGATGGAGAAACTGGTCCGCTGAGGAATAAATCGCTTTTCAGCTTGCTTCTTTAGTTTTTCTTGCGAAGGAAAAGGTTCGAAAAAGTTCAGTTAAAAGGAGCACTTTAGCAGAAAAATGCCCTTACCAGCCAGAATAGGTAGACCTCATGAGGTAAGTAAACGTTTATTAACCCTTTTTATCTCCAACGTTGGTTTTTACCGCAAAATAGTAAAGACGATTTGTGACACAGCTGTTGATGGTCGGTACCGCTAAAACTAAATGTGCTCTTTATTTACCATACATTCATTCATTTGTACACACAAAACCCCTTTTACAGTACTACAAGGCAGGAGATCAAGAAAGCTAAATCCTCCGCAGGTTTTAATATAAGTTTATTTTCATTTGGAAAAGAGCTTTTTTAACAGAGTTTATCTATAGTACTGTTATAGTTAAATATAGAAAAATTAGGAAAAGGTATGTGAGGCATAAACTATGGATATAAACTACAGGTACTTTCAAACTGCATCAAAAGTCAATTCCAGCTTTGGTGCTCTAACCGGGAGATCGGGAGATTTGAACACTGCCCCCCACCCCCACCTTCACTCTGGGCTGAACCCCGGATATAATAATTAATTTCTATTGCCTTAGATGGCAAATTCCCTGGGGCGGGACTCTTGAGCTGTCAAATCATCCCCTGGGGTGGGGACAAAAAAGAGAACAAATGCCCCGTCCTCCATGAACACTGCAACACTTTTCATTGACCGCATTGTTGAGTAGTGCCATTTTAAGCATTTTCAATGTGCGATTTTTTGTTTCAGTTTATGTCTGCCTTTGTAATAACACTATTCTAATAATAATTATTTAGACTTCACGCCAAGATGACACCAGTTTATGGTTTTAGTATTATTATAAAATTATTCACATTACAATTAATATCTCTGCTTAAGTTTTAGTTTTATCAACTTAATTAACTGATTGTTATTTATTTCATCATTACTATATTACAATTATTTATTACCTTATTTGCACATATCATTTATTCATTTTTGTTCTTGCACTTTGCACTGGAATTTGGGTTTTACCATCAAAACCCTGCTTATTTTCCTGAAATATATCTTTAAGTTTATTTTTGTAACAGCTCAACCAGCTTCAAATGGCATTTTCTGGCAGAATTTAAGGCCAAGTCAGAAAATGTTATTGCTTACATGATATAGTGGTATAAGAGGTAGAGTCCAAGTGACCTTGGGTTCTAGTCTTGCCTAAATTGTGTCTTTGTTGTCTTTCTTTCCCTTATTTTTTTCCTTTGGCCTGTTTTCCGTTTATTCCTACTGCTGTTTGACCTTTAACCTGAACTGTATTCTTGAGATACCGCAAAATTAATTCACTTAATATTTCTAGTCTGTAATAGTATGTTGTATTATTAAATTTTCTCTTCATAGAATCCAGCTGTAGAACCCATGCAGGTTGATGTATCTCCAGAGAGTGATAACACTCCTCACGAAGATAATTTTATAATTGAGTCTGCAACTTTGGTGAGTTTTTGTGACTACATGGTGTGTACCGTAACTGAGAACGTACGTATATGAGTGCTCGTGCAGCTAAAGACAGTAATCTCTGTCTAAGATGGGCACTGTTCAAATTGTTGAGCTAAGACTGGAGAAGTGTTTGTTGTTGTTGTTGTTGTTGTTAAAAATGCTGCTACCCCAAGACTTTTGTCCCTGATTGTTGTTGTATCCAATCTAGGGAAAGGAAAAGTTATTATTTTGTTCGGTATGTTACTGTAATGCAAGACAAGTTCAATACTTTTCACAGTCACCCTCTGATGACCTAAAATATTTAAATAATGGTCACCAACTGCATGTATAACTATAACATCATCTGATTGTTGGCTAAGTTCTAACTTGTCTTTGATCAAAATGACTGCCAAGGCTTAGCTGTCACAATTCAAGAGGTTTATATGTACAGTACTCAAGGTTTTAATATCGAGATAACCAGGGTGAAGCTTAGGTATATCTTTTGACATTAATATTAATCTCACGTTAACTTCAGTAACCTGCATAGCAAGCATTTCCAAGCCAGTTATTGTGGGAATGTAAGAACAGGAGCAAAAAAAATGGAAGGGGAGAAGAGGAAACACTTGCCCGCAAACCCCATGATTCTGGAGAACGCCCCTTGATATTTCACACTTCGGTTCATTTGCAAATTGACAGCTTGTCAAGGTAGACACCAGTATAACAAACAGTCCGAACAGATTACCAGAGTTGTAAAATTTACTTTGTTCTCTAATAAAACACGCTCCACGCAGTTGCAAAAATTGTAATCAAGAAGCTTTACAATGAAAGAAGGTTGAAACTCTGAGCGATTGCTGCAGAATTTCCAGTTGTTTTTTATTGTCAAGTTAAATTTGGAACTTTATGAGTGACCTGAACCACTAGTTAAGAAAGTTGTTGCCGCCTCTTTATAAGAGCAACTATAATCTAAGGCGTGCGCGCACTTTTACTTTGCCGCGTTGCAAGACAGTTTTTTTATGGCCTCTGGGAGAATTGTAAATAATTTTTAGGTTTCTTATTATACGTTTTTAGTCTTAGCTATTACAATTATCACTCTTTTTTACAATTATTAGTATAAATTATTACCATTATGTAAATACACAATTCAGCTTATGCTGCAATGTATTTAATAAAGTACCTACCTACCTACCTACCTATGTGGCTTTATCTCATCTGAGACCTTGTCAAAACATTGCAAAGAAATGATTTGTACAGAACAATAATTTTTTTATTCACTCCGCCATCTACGAATTTTGCAGAATGGCTGCAATCTGACCTCTCTAGCCCTTGTCGAAAAGTTCTTGTCAAAAAGAATCTTTTCATTTCAAAAAGTTGACATATCACTTGTCCATGGCATCGTGAGCTTGTGTCGAGTACCAATTTTCTGATTTAAGTTTATGTTATCTCCAACAAACAGTCCATTTTTCCAGTCAGATCCGCACGCCGTCGTTTGCAATAAATTTGCCATCACTGATAAACCTTTGCACAAACATGATTGAAATAAATATCAGTCCAAAGCATTTTTTATCTGCAACCAGAGATCATTTCAGACCAGATTTGTGACTTACGTAAACAAAACATACTGGGTTTGAGTGATGTATTGATCACTATTAATCAACAGTACCAGCACCGCACCAATCAGAAGCTGCGTTCGTGGGCAAACACAGTTTTTCAAAATTGTGGGGTTTTTGAGGCAAACGTTTCCTTCTCTTCCCCCACCCATCATTTCTCTTTTTTACTCTTGTCCCAACTTTGTCGACGAACTCGTGCAAAACGCTTGCTATGCAGGCTGTAACTGAGAATGGATTAGAAAATGACACTGGCACACAATATTTTTCAACTTGCCATGGCAGCCAAAATGGTCACAGTTTTGGTTGCTGAGTCATTTTTAAAAATGTAAATCGTTATCTTTTTTGAATTTTAATGTTTGATCAATTTTAAAAGAAAAATCAACTATAAAAAAGGAACATGACGTTTCAATGACTCATTTTATCAAATTAATGAAAAATTAATTTTTTGTTGTCTTTCTTGAATTTTAATGTTTGATCAATTTTATTAAGGGTAAAACAGAACTTATGGCTACATTTTTGCACTTCAACTTTTGTTATTCCAGGATCTTGATGTTTATGCTTCTAATTACACTGGCCTCACAAAGCTTAACAGATTACTCTTTGTTGCTAAGCACTGTCCTGCCCTTGAAGTTGATGCCCTGAGGTAAAAAAATTGCTTATTTCTTTTAATTCCTTTAAGTTAATATATTTATACAATATGTAATAATAACACTATATGTAAATAAGACAACAATATTTTACAGTTATTTGTAAGTTGTTATGCATCACTTGATCTTATCAACCCCACCAGGCCTACAATCCTTTCTTTAAAGTTTCACAAATAGTGGGTTACAGTCACATGGTGACTGAATTGATTCAATTTGTTTTGATGTAGGTTTCATTGGCCTTGTTCTCAAAAATACACATTTTGGAGGATGTTGCTACACTGCACTCAGCTGATGCTATTAACCAATACATCAGGCAAAACTATCCAGACTAGAACCCATATTATTCTGTAACTAGACTAGTATTAAAGCTGAGGGCTGTGTTTTATTAGCACTCAGTGGCCCCTGCAGGCACCTTACTTTTGCTCTTGGGCTATTAGGAAATGTTATTTTTTTCGTAGAAATCCCAAGTTGGGCACCCTGGATCTCACAGGTTCAGAGAATTGGGCTAATCCCTTCAATTTTTCTTAGAGCGCAGCCCTGAACTTTGTTTTTCAATGGTTTTAGTGCACATTTCATAATAAATAAAATGAAAAAAGATCTCTTTATGTATATTTTGCTTTGGCAAAAGGCAGCACTGTAGAGTTGTTGATTGTAATAACATGAGTTAACTTTCAGGATAGCCTTGAATTATGTCAAACAAACATTCAATGTGCAGTTGTACCAGGAGATCATCACAAGAATGACTGAAGCCTGGTTAGTATGACAGGCTACTTTGAATTCATTTATTTCTATGTAAAATTAAAATGTTAACATTTATTTATCTCCTGAGAATTCTTGTACGCAATCATGTACATGTATACGGTATGGGACAGAATTATGAATGTTGTTAATTACTCAAACTGAACAGTGAAAATCTTTAGATATCTTTTTACCTGGAAAATGGACTGAAAGAGTGCTGAAGGAACTGAAGTACATAGAATTATTATTATTGTTATCACAATGTTAAAATGTTTCTTGTCTTTCAGCTCTCGAAGTGAACTTGATCCTCCTCCCATGGACACAACATGGATGGAGACTACAAGCAAAAAGGCTGCATTAAAGGTACTAAACTCATGCAAGCCCTGCTAGGCTGCCTTCCAATTCAGGCTTCCCCATCACCATCTTTTTCAGTATTTATACAACCTGTAAATTATGTGACAAAAACAAATAAATCAATCAAACCAAGATGAGCACCTGCACTTTAACTACATGTTGCTGTTGTGAGAAAAATTCATTTTCCTTCAGCTTGCTTACTTATTATAAGGTACATAAATGATAATCTCTGTTTCTGACAATCTTCATCAAAATATGCTAAAACCAGGGGACATGTGCATGGTGTATGCCATCATTATCAGGGCCAGTTTGATCAAACCTGGGTTAAGATAACCCAGGGTTAGTGCAAAATTTGAATGCAGATATGAAAGCTTAAAAAGAACATTCAGTTTAGTATCTTGGGAAATGCTTTTGAACAAACAAAAAAGAAACCGGAACTAAAATTTAACCCCGGGCTAGTGCTAATTGGCCTTTGAACAACTGGGTCCAGATCTGTAATTTCCATTTTTTTAAGTTGTTGTTTTAAATCACCTTTCTACAACTTGTATACTGTAATGATGCAAAGTGTACACTGTGTGTGACTTTTGGTAAAAGCAGAAACTCATAAGGGGTTGAAACATGTAACTCTCATATGTTTGCTTTGTCCGATGCTCGTGATTATTCATTTTCGAAAGTACCATATTTGGAACGTTTAGAAGAGATAACTGACCAATCAACGTAATTTTCCTTCAGGTCCCCGCGCCCGCTTAAAAAAATGGCCGACAAACTGGAGGAAAAACTCCCGAAAGCCGAGAAAGCTTTCAAAGGTTGAAACCAGGAATATTACCGAAACACTGAGCAGGATATTATTGCCTTACCACCCGCGCCAAACGTAACATTATGAAACCCATTGATGGCCTCAGCTCGCAACTTCTTGAAGTTGTCACTTCAAAAAACGATGCCTCGTTGACCCTCTGCATAGTAAACTTATACTGCAAATAGGCTTTTAAAACTCTTATGTTAAAAGTCTAGAATAAACAGTGAAATTATTTTCTAATAAAATTCATTAGCTGCGTATCGAAAAGTGTCCAAAACCTGAACCTGACATCTTCGCAAAAAGTGATGCTTGTAATGAATGTGAGAAGCATTTTAAAAGCTTAAATTAAACTTGGATGTTGTAGTCACGATTGTGTTTTGAGCTAATTTTATGAATGAACAAACTCAAAACAATAGACGGAGAAGCCGTTTCTTGAAAATTTTTATTCAAAGTCCAAAAAGTTAATCCTTTAAAGCAAGTCGGAAAACAGTATCTGGATCGTGGATCCGTTCACAAGTAAAATCGGCTAAGCACGTGGCAAAATTCAACACAAAATCCATCTCAAATCAGGGCACATTTTGTAATTTTTCTTTAGCGCCGAAGACAAAAATTTATAAAATGTCTATGAAACATTTAAAAATACATAAATTCGCTTTCAAAAACGTAATTGTCTTGGCCATAGAGTGCAAAATGTACCTGAAAATTCAGCAAAAAACTTCGCTGACTTGTTGGTTGCATTTCAAAACAGACCATGGGCTCCGCCGTGAAGAAAACAAGGTTGAATTCCTCAAAGGACGGTTTCTTGATCAAAAGCTTCCCTTTCTCCACAAAAAGAAAGCTGATCATTCTTTTGAACTTTCTCTTTCCGTTTTTTGTCTTTTAACGGTATATTTTTTAACTTTGAAATACAGAACTCTTGTCTTAAAACATCTGCATGGTGATCGCGCAGCAGCCATTTTGTTGAAACTGGATATCCGTCACTAAGGTTTCCAAATATGATAAAAGTGAATATTCACGAGCATTGAACGCGAGTTACACGTTTCAACCCCTTGTGGGTTTCTGGTAAAAGACAATGATATTTAAATTGATGCCTCGTTAATGTGAGAGCAAGCTCTCTCCTGTGCAAAGAAGAGTATTGCTACACATAAATTTTAATCTTTCATTTTTAAAATAATTTTTCTGTACTTATAGCTTGAGAAGCTAGATACAGATTTGAAAAACTATAAGAGCAACTCCATCAAGGAAAGTATCAGGTAATTATAAAATAAATACATTTTATTATTAAATTACTAATACAGTGTACATGTGTTTTATTGATTTCAGGTAAAAAGTGATTTAAACTAGCTCTACCTTAATTTTCTTTTGTCCCATAATTTGTAATAAGTGTTTCCTAAAATGCACAGTAATTGCATAAGTCATTGCAGTCATTTTATTATCACAATTTCTATCACTTCATTATTTTATTATTTTATCCTAATTCAAGGAACTTTATGTTTGCATAATTACCTTTTGTTAAATTTCTTCTTCTTTTAGACGTGGGCATGATGATCTTGGGGACCACTTCTTTGAGTGCGGAGACTTAAAGTTAGTTACAAAAAACAAAGAAAACGTAATCGTAGTTATCAAAATGATAATTTTTAACATGAATACGCAGAGGTATTAAAATTTTGTTTCTTTTTGCCATTCTAGAGTCATCTGACCTAGAAAACTATTGTGATTTGATCTCCAAACTTAATAAATGTAACTTCCCAAATAATATTTGGAGGTCAAAGTTTTTCTTAATATCTGACTATAATATTAAAACTTCAGCATATTACCACAGGCGGGCCAGACGTAGTATGTGTCACTGAATAAATGTATAAATATTCACATGGACAAATAATTTGTCCATTAATTATTAATGCTATGAGTCGTCGAAACTCCAATGAACTAAAATAGTCCAAAAGTCAAAATATAACAAAACAAAGCTAAGATACATTTAACTGAACGTATCCTTGTCTTTCCTGGCCGGTTAAAGTGGCATTTTGTTGAGTTTTGCATGTTCTTTAGTGGATAGTACCTACAATAATTGCAAAACTCAACAAAATGCCACTTTAACCGGCCAGGAAAGACAAGCATACGTTCAGTTAAAGGTATCTTAGCTTTATTTTGTTATATTTTGACTTTTGGACTATTTTAGTTCATTGCAATTTCGACGACTCATCGCATTAATTTGTCCATGAGAACATTAATATAAATTATTCATTCAGTGACACATACTATGTCTGGGCCGCCTGTGATATTAGATGCAAGTTAGTTACTTTATTTAACCAGAGTATCAGATTCAGCTGCAAGGCTGGTTTCCAAGGGAGCCCTGGTGAAAAAAGATGTGTACAATTTGTTTAGATAGTTGAAAGGAAAAAATTCTTAGGGTAAAATAAAAAAGAATCTCAAGAAACCTTAATCAGTATTTGCTGGATTAGAATTACAATATTATTATATAATGAAAGTCTAGTTACAGAGTAAGTCAATAAACAAAGTGTGTGTTGAACAATAGGGAATAAACGCTATAAGGTTTCATATTTTGAAACTGTCTTTGTTTTGTTGTCCACTTTAAACAGCAATGCACTGAAGTGTTACTCCAGAGCAAGAGACTACTGTATGAGTGCAAAACAAGTTGTTAATATGTGTGTTAATGTAATCAAGGTAAGCATAATTTCTTACTAACATGTTATACAGAAAGTTTATCTATTTTATTTTTCCATAGGAGTTTGAGTGGTAGACCTAATGTATTAGTGTTCAGTTAAAAGTGCAAATTACTTAAGTTCAAGGAAAGTAATTTGCCAGTATTGCTTCTCTATCTGGCAGCAATGCTGGGTCAATACAGTCAGCACCATGTCAGTGGACTGGTGCCCAGGGTTCCCAGGCCCTCTCTTCTTTCCATTCCCTGCAGTGGTAGAAGAATGTAGAATTATTATCTTTGGTTTGTACTTGGCAGGTCAGCATTCATTTGGGCAACTGGTCACATGTGTTAAATTATGTCAACAAGGCTGAAAATACTTCTGAATTGGCTGAGGTAAGTACATTCTATCAGCTGGTTATAGCTGATACAACAGGCAGGCAGCATGTTCCAAAGCAAATGGAGGCATCAACCACTGCAGTAGGCAATAATAAGTTGGTGGAAATAGGATGACAACGGTCTGTTCTGTCATTTCAATGTATTTAATGCATATTTTTCTATCTACTTGTGTAATACATGCTGTAAGCTATGATTTAAGTTATAATAATGATAATTATTTATTCAATTTATCTTCAGCAACTTTTTTCTGATTTTTTCGTATTTACATTGTTTTATGTATTTATTTAATATTAATTTTGTGCTTGTTTATGTCACTTTACTTTTTTGACAAAGTTATATCAAGTTTGTTGTGTCATACATTATTCACAGCAAAAAGACAGACGTCCAAACTTGGTGACCCTCACAAGGCTGAAATGTGCAGCAGGTATCACATAACTTAGAAATCATCTATTTTTATGTACTTTGTTTAGTCAGAACACGCTTGTATCTGTTTAGATGCCCAGTGCCATTCTCATGTTGAAAGTGCAAATGTAAGCTAAGTATGGCAGTCATATTGTGTTCTTGGGACAAGGAAAGGTTCGGTGTAGTGATAATTTTTCTACTCTAAAAGGCTAACAGTGGTCCCCACATTTTTCTCACTCATGGAGCTTGTGAACGCAGAGGAGTCACGACCGGGAATACTCATGCGTCTGTGTTCACAAGCTACGAGGATAGTTTGGCCAGCATAAAGTACAAACAAGCATAAAAAATTTAGCACGCAAGGAAGGTGACATGCGCAGGTGGCGATTTTCACCCGCGCGCACTTGAGTATTTTGCTCGCTCCAGATTCCTTGAGAAAAATTAGGGACTACTCGTAATGACGTACTCAAATAGACCCGCCCAAAACAGAGTCAGGAGAGAGGTTCAAAGACAGGATTCAAAAATAGTTTGAGACCAACTGCATCAGTGACCTTTTAGCTCCACCATGTATTGTTATCTCGATTCACCAAGATAGATACTTAGAAAAATAAATAAATAAATAAACTTTAAATCTTCCAAGCCAACATACGACTTTCCTTTTCTGTGTTTTGATATTGTTATATAGTACAATGATTTGTATCCGTAGGTCTGGCTGAACTTGCTACCAGAAAATACAAACCAGCTGCCAAGAATTTCTTGCAGGCATCCTTTGACAACTGTGAATGCCCTGAGGTCAGTGAAATACGCTATATCATGAGAACATACATTTGCTGCTACGCGATTCTCGTCTCGCGGGAAACTAGACGCGACTGATAACTTACTTTTGAGCGGTACTGTAGTGCTTACAGACCACAAGTAGTCCCTTCTATTTCTCTCAGGGCTGGATATCAGAGTAAACGAGAACCGGAAAGCACGGGCCGGGAATGGCCTCCCTCCTAAGAGGTGCTAAAAGTCCGGGCAGTCAGTACTTTCCCGCGCTTCTTGCTCTACTTCAGTTCCCTGAGAAAAGATTTGGGACATCTATATCTTTTCGTTGCTGTCTATATAGCGATAGTTGTAACGTTTCAGTAATAATGTTGATAAATACCTAGCCTCAGGGGCACCCAACGGCAATTTTCGGGAAAATATCTGTTCGGAAGACGATTTGAGAACTAGAATTTTCGGAACATTTGTTGTAAAATTTCTTGCTTGCCTGCCTCTCCTAGGATTTTCGAACATCTACAAAATGGTATAATTACCCATTTTAAACGGATATTTACCCTAAAAAAGGCCACCTAGAATTTTCGGGAGCCTTTTCGTGGCTGAAATTTTCGAAAAGGTAAGTTTTGATCCCTATAATTTTCGGATCACTAGACTTTCAGCTAGGAAATCCGAACAGATGAAAAGTTTTTAGGGGATAAAAATATGCCTATATCTACCGTTTAAATACTAAAATACGTTCAACAATGCTATGTTAAGCGGTTTTGAACTATATCCTCGTTGGGTGCCCCTGTAGCCTGCGAATATCCAGCCCGTCGTTACGACATCTATTTTATTTGTCAACGCCGGACTCTGGTGGTTTCGCGAAACATGATCTTGTAAATTTTGGTCTAAAAGCGTAATCCAGTGATGTCTAATGTATTTTACACTTAGATTGGTGAAATTATAATACCGTTTTTAGTTACGTGATGTGTAGGTCAGAAACAAATAAACTTTCTCTCCGGCTTTTTTTGAATGGTATATATAAATCCATCGCTGACTTTTCTAGGTTTGTCCAGCTGTATATTGAGGGGTACTGGCATGTTTAACCTTCATTCAACAGATTATTTCTCCAAATAATGTCGCTGTTTATGGAGGACTTTGTGCCCTTGCTTCGTTCGACAGACAAGAGCTTCAAAAGAAAGTCTTATCCAGCAGGTATAATGTAGTACTGACTGACCTATGTTTTGTTCCAACATCAGTTACAATTTTAGTAAGAAAGACATACAGTATCACATACTATAAGGTCTAGGATCAGCGAAAAGGCTGGGATTTTAACTGTGTTACGAATCACTTTTTTAATGATAAAGAGGAACAACATGCCAGTCTCTGTTTTTCCTTGTCTTCCAATTTTCGGGTTACAGCCTTAAGTGTTTTTTTGTGGGAATGAGTCAGCATATTGCAAATTTGCTTTTTTTCAGAAGGTTTGTCTGTTTGTTCCCAAGTTAAGAACTGAAGACAGTAGTTTTGTTGGTGTATTTTTAGTTCCTTTAAGCTGTTCTTGGAGCTGGAGCCACAGTTAAGAGATGTGTTGTACAAGTTTCATGAGTCACAATATGCAGCTTGTCTAAAACTACTGGACGAAATGAAGGTACGTCTGAATTAACTTGAAGCTTTCATTGTCCAAATTATTATGGTCAGAAACAACCCGTTCACAAATTTTCCAACGTATAATTAAGCAAACAAATTGCGAGAGGCCAGCGAAATGATTACTTCAGATGAATTTACCTTTTTTAAGGTGATTTATGTACAAATCATGGATAAATGCTGGTTTTGACTAGCGACTGAGTTGGAGTCTTATTAGAAGCGTGTAGAGTCGTGATCTACTGCAAATTGTTGAAGTTGCAAGCAAACGTGGACGAACTAAACCAATCACAATGCATGGGAACGAGCATTTTGATTGGTTTAGTTATTCTTCTTCTACCTGGGACTCTGACAATCTAGTTTTTACTGGATCATAAGCGACAGATTAAGGGGAATTGTGATACAATAGTGAGTGGTATCGGTGAAGACATTCTTTTGATTAGTGTCACAAATAATGTGAGAAAACCAGGGGAGAGAATTGTACAGAGTAAGTAGTAGTGAACAGTCACGTGTTCGAATTCGTCAGTCACGATATTCACCCGATGTGATTAGAATTATACGAAGTAGTACCATCTGTGAAACGCGGAAAAACGGAGTGTGAATTTTGAACGTAACGGAAATATTCGCCTTAGTCGTGAAGTATTTTTGTGATTCTCTCCAGTTGTTCTCGTTTGGCCGTGTTCTTACAGCCCGCGGTGCACTGTGCAGCAGGCGTTTTTATAAAGGTTATGGTGTAACGAGCGATCTCCTACTCTCCCCGGTCTCTCTCGACTTTCAAAATCGTAGCGACTTCAGGGACTACAGGGCGAAGCCGAGCGCTTGCTTGCCCGAAAAATACACCTTGTGCTAGTCTTTGAAAAGATCAGGACAGATGTCAAAATCGTGATTTTTATTATCCCGATCGTATGTTGGTCGGGACTCGGTATTTCCAATCAAATACCGGGAGAATCCCGACAAGATCAGGATGGTTGGACACCTCTTTTTGTCGAGTAGTAACTTGAATCTTTGTTAATATTTTTTCTTACTTCACAGGACAACTTCATGTTGGACATGTATCTTGCGCCACATATCAACACGTTATACAGTCAAATCAGAAACAGAGCTTTGGTGCAGGTACCCTAGCATTTTGATGTTTCGTTTGCTCAGTGCTTCTTGGTTCCATTTTTGTTAGCAGTTTTGAACCTTACCTTGCGGGGCACTTTGCAAGAAACCCTGATACGGAGACAGAATTTCTTCGCCTCTCATTTTGACTTGTTCACATTTTGAGAACGTTCTCTGAAAATTGTTATACGAAACGCGAAAAATTACGAATCGTTTAATCAGTTTCCTTGGAGGTAACAGTCGGTTTGCCGAAAGCCCGGATTCTGTTAAAAGAAAGTCAGGATATGTTTGCCTGGCGGAGGCTTTAATCATTTTAAAGGGCTGAAAATCTTGCAGTGATTGATTTCAAAGCCAACAGTATTACGGTATGTGTTTGTACAGGGGCACCCAACGCCTGTTTTCTGTAAAATATCTTGCTCGGAGAAGCAAATATTGCCTAGAATTTTCTAATACTTAAGGACAGTTAAAACTTTCTAGATGACCGTTCCGTTCATGTATCGTTTTCGAAGCTTATCTAATAAATTCCCTACGATTTTGTGAAGTTTAATTTTCACATTTTTTCCCCCAAGTTAGGATATTTTTCGTAGAAAAAAGGAAAAAAAAAATTCCCAAGCGAGGTTAAGAAGTTCTTCTAAAAATGGTGCTAACTGGAAAATTAGGCTACTCGGGTTCTTAAACAGGTTTTTATTTTTTAAAAATAAATAAGGTACATACATACATACATATACATACACTTTATTGATGCTCCCTAAGTGGGCTTTTCAGCTCAATAGAATAAAAAAAATACAAATATATAAATTAATTGAGAATGTAAATACAATAATATTATAATTACAAAATATATATCAATAATATAATATATCAACTTAATAAAACATTTGCAAGATGACGTCTAAAATTCCTGGGGCATTTTAAGGACTTAATGTTATCATTCAAGGAGTTCCAGAGTTTGGCTCCTCTGAAAGCAAAGGAGCGCTGCCCTGTTGACAGGCGACATACAGGTATATCCAAAGCACCAGATGATCGAGTTTGTCTATTATGGACTTGAGAACGTGATTTAAACATATCAGCAAGATAGTCTGGAACAAGCTTGTTAATACATTTGTGCATCATAGTAGCGTCATTTAGAATGAGTTTCTCTCTAATAGGAAGCCATTTCAACGATCGCAACCCATCCGAAATATGGTCATACTTTCTTAGTCCCAGAATAATTCGCCCAGCAAAGTTTTGGACTTTTTGTAACTTGTCAATATTGCTGCTGCTGGTATTACTCCAGACAGTTGAACAATATTGGAGTTTACTAAAGACAAATGAATTTATTACTAACAGAAGTGTTTTCCTATCCAGGAGGTGCTTGATTCTGTTAATTTGGTACAATTTAAAAAGGCATTTAGAGGCAATCTCAGTGATATGTTTGTTATAACTGAGGCGTGTGTCGAGAAGAACACCCAAGTCCTTAACGACAGGCACAAGTGTTATTTCCTTGTCAAAAAGTGTTATACTGAATGATGACAGTTTCTTTAAAAGTTGTGGTAATCCAACAGCTAGAACCTTAGTTGATTGTCATTGGTGGGTGTGGCCTATTTCGGGCCTATTAGTATTTTTGGTATTGCATGCATAATGTTGTAAAAATCCCTTTAATCCAAGCCATTTATGAAGTTTATACAAAGCTATGTAGGTTAAACAGAACAAAAACAACATCGAAACATGATACTGTGTGTTGCTGCTGGGCCAAACATGGTACTGGATTTCTCAAAATAAGAACCTGTTTCAAAATTGTTGGCTTAAACAGGTTCTTATTTAATAGAGTTCTACATGGAAAATCTTAGCCTAACAGGTTCTTAAAATCTAGGTTTTTACTGTACTCTGGATAGCCTAAAAAGTGTTTTCAAGATGTATTTAGGATGAAACCTGTCGATAGGTGCCCCTGTTTATAGTATTTATTCCTTTTTAGTACTTCAGTCCTTATGTGTCAGCGGACATGGAGAAGATGGCGCATGCGTTCAACACAACAGTGTCAAACTTGGAAGACGAACTGTCAAACTTGATACTTGAGGGTCAAATACAGGCCAGAATTGACTCACATAACAAGGTATAATCGTGTTACTATATGTTCTGTCAGAAACCCAGATTTTGTCTTTACCTTTTATATTTTATGTATTGCTGGCGAGACTTATGCGAGCCAGCACACTGTTCTCTACAATGGGGGGGGGAAGCGGCATTTACCTCGTGTATCGGACATAGATGACGTAAAACAAAACAACAAAAACCATGAAACAATACCAAGCATATTTTTCCCTGAACAGAAAACAAAGAGGTCTTTTGTTTTACGTCATCTGTGTCCGGTACACGAAGTTCTGACGGAAAAGCCAAAATTTGTCGGATGTAAGATCAGAGGCATGCGCAGTTGATTAGTTTTCTTATTATTTGGGGTATTCACTCCTTTGCAATGACGCACGTGGACGAGAGATTTTTATTTTCTAGATTTCTCTCTTTGGTAGTGGAAGTATTCATTAATGTCTCGATCCAGAGCATTTTAGTGATGAATCGCGAGGATGACGAGAGATTTATATGTGTTTGTGTGTTTGCTGGCTACTGGAGGTGCGAAGATGTCGATCAAATCCTCCGTCATGGAGATTGTTTTCTCTCTGGGCACTCAGCAGAAATGATGTGCCAGGCAAAACTTTTTCTGTTCGGAGTAAACAGTCGAGTCTAGCTTGCTGGTCTCGGGAGAAAAGAGAAGAAAGGTGCGAGGCAAACCAGCTTTGCGTCTAAAGCGACTTCGGTACCAGATGCAATTAATTGAAGTACTCTTCGCCCGTTGAGGCCTTAAATTCGATCGTTGTGTTAAAATTTCTGCCCGTTGAGGTGAACAATTTAGCTGATAATTTGACCATGGGTCACATTTTCCGTTGAGGCGAAAGAAAAGCTTGGAACTATATTGATTTAAAATGTGTATCTCTCTTTGAAGCTAACCCCTGGCTAACCATTCAACTATAAATGTTTTTGACTGTCGCGTCGGAAAGTGCCTGCCACCGTCGGGTCCAGTTGTTTTTAAACCTTCAAGTCAAAAGAAAACTTCTCGCACCTCCATGGGCGAATCGGCAAAAATTGTTGTCATACTAGAGTTGGCAGACACAATAGTATCTTGTCTTTTTCGGGATCCAAGCACTTAACCGTTGGTGACCTTGATGAAATTATTTCCATAGGCAAGTAAAGAAATCTAAAAATATGAAGAAGCAATTACTAAAAACTCAGGCCTCGTCAATTATCTGCTTGCGCTTTGGAAATTTACTCGATCTTTTAAAAAGGCTTACTTACCCTAAATCCCAGGGGTCATTTTCATTTTCTTCACTTTATTTACTTTCAAACTGTTTACTCCGCATTGCCTTCCAACTCTGACGCCAGCACTTACTTTCAAATTGAAACTCCTAGCTTATTTATATATTTATTTATTTATTTTCATACATCGTTATTATTCATTCATTGTAACAAACATTTTTTCGGAAATTTTTAAGAAAATAGCTTTTTATAAGAAACTTGATTGTATCACAAAACTCCTTTGTTCAATTCTTTCTTGAGGCTTTTACTCACGGCAGTACGATATGGACAGGATTTCTGCCAAATTTCGTCAAATTTTAATGAGTAGGTTTTATGTGTCATCGTTAGTTTACATTGTCTATTAAAGGTCAAATGAACCAAAAATTCGACCTTCGGCCCACAATGTGTTTGAAGTCACTGAACTTTGTCGCACTCGAGCTGATATTTTAAAACCCACGCTCGATCGGACACTTCTAGCTTCGCAGATCGCTAAAATATAAACAAAATCCTCAATGTAGAAGTTTTGACGTTGATATGTGGGCAGAAAAAGAGTTAATCTTTATCTAGTAAATCTTCCCCAAGATCGGTTTCGAAGCAACCATAGGTTTTTAAACTTGATCGTTTCGCGCAGATTAATTTTGCTTTGAGTTGTCAAGTTGAACATGTATAACACCTGTTAAAACCCAACGCGTAAGTAAGATTTGCTTCAAACAAATTTAAAGTTACATAATTGCAAAAACGTCTTTGGAGTTATGTATAAGATTTAATTACCGATTGAGGTCACTTTAAGGACCATAGACGCCACTTAAAGCTGGCAAAGAGATACGACAAGCAAAGAACAATTCCATCATGCATAAAATTCAGCTTAAGTGAACTAAAAAAAGCTTCAATAAGGTTGTAAAACAACAAATTTTCATTAAAAAAACATAAGGCTTAAGGCTCTTATAGCTGCTAACAAAGAAGAAGTATATTTTCTGTACCGAAACAACCTACCTAAAGATCTTAAAAACAAAAGATCAGTTGCAAGCTTCGCAGCCAAGCCATGATGCCGACTACTTAGCTAGATTAGCTATTTTTAATAACTGGTCTATGCGAGGGTCTTCATTCAAGCAAATTACACTTAGCAAACTGAATCTTTAGAAAATACAGAAAACTGCACATATGGATTTGTTTTGCTCGCTTCAGTCAAATCCAGCTTCAGCAATTGTTTACGGGCAAAGAGTCAATTGTGTTGGAGTCACTGCCGGCAGTTGTCGTTCTCCGCTACGTCACAGCGAGTGAAAGGAAAATTTGCGTACAGAGAGATAACGAAATTATGGAATTAAAACTGAGAAAACTAAAAGAAAAAACTCTGACTATTATTACTTGAGCAACAGAAAAATAATCGAAGTAGTTTCTTCTCGAGTAAGCTTGCTGGCCTTCTAAAAATTAATTCACAAATCGAATGCACAATTATCAGAAAAATACAAACCTCTTTGGAAGTGTTCAAAACGTTTAATATTCCTCCTCAGACTGACGGATGATCTGTTTTTACTCTAACATTGGTTGTTCTGAATCCAAAGTAATTTTCACGTGACGAAAAAACAACAACAACAAAAACAAAAACAAAAAGCCTTTACAAGGAGAAAACGTTCGCACCTTGTGTATTTCATTCAGTCTCAGTACTGAGAACTCTCACAGAACTCGACAAACAAACGCAGGCGATAAGGGATGCGCAGAAGCTTGCGCAGAGCGTTTTTCCGCCCTAAAAGACCAACAATGACGTCACGTACTCTCCAGTCTATCACGCGGTCATTTCAGAAACGCTTTTATCTTTCTATAAAGGCTTGGGAAGAAAAATCTTTACCCAAATCTCACTTATGATGGTTCTTTGTAGTGTTTGGTGAAGGTAAAGTGACAAAAGAAAATATGTCAATTTTTTGGTTCAAAGTACGCATGCTTAACACTTGTGCGCGCGCTGAGATCACGTGCTATGTCTACACTTTTTTTAACATATTAATTCTTCTTGTTGGCCTCCACAATTGTAGGTGCTATTTGCGCGAAACGTGGATCAACGAAGTGTAACGTTTGAAAAAGCGTTGGAAATGGGGAAGGAATACCACAAGAGGACAAAGGTTAGTTCATCTCGGCAGCTAAAGTGAAGTTCGCACAGGTGTGCCACTTAGGACAGTCAGTTGACACACACACACACACACACTATACTTTATTTCATGCACATCATTTTGCTATCTCCAACCGCAAATAGCAAAAGCTAGACGAGGTGGGCGGAGAGGAAAGGTTTCAGCAGTCATAACAGATAATATAATAATTGTAAAGTAACTAAATAAACTATCTGGATAAATAAGAATTACTGAAAAACAAGCTAAAGTTACAAAATATATAGTCTTACAGAATGATATTACAATCAAATTTACTACTAATAGAACCTATCGATTATTAGTACATTGAGTCGAGGATGCAGAATTTGACTCTGAAGTTGAGAAATAGTATACCAGGATCTGGAAGGTATCACTTACTTGTTGGGAAAAGTAACAACTGTTGAAACTAATACGCTTTTGAATTGAAATATATGAAATGAATCATATTTTGAACTGCGGATAAAGTTATTTCAACCGCATAGTTAGGTTGTTCATTCTACTACGACGATCATTTTCATTTTCCTCATTGTTTGCTTTTATCTTGTTTTAGGCTTTAATTCTCCGTGGAGCCATCCTGCGTAACCAAATCGTCGTCAAAGTAAGTTTTCTTTAACTACAACCTAGAAATAAACAAAAAGAAAGAAAGAAAGCGACAACAACAACAGCCAGAGATAATATCACATTTTGTTCGGGAAGGGGAGTGATGTGTGTGTTCCAGGGAAGGAGCTCGTTAGCCGTAAACCGGCCATGTGAAGTTTAGTGGGGAATTGTTAGAACAAGTGCTTATGCTGGCGTGGATCAGTCATGCCCTCCTCATAGCTCATGTAAAAAGCGCTGATTGCAACGCATAAGCATACTTAGGGAAGGAAATTAATCGTTAAATGACCAAAACATGAATCTGTAACTGTAAAAACCAGCATTTAGGCCATCCGCTTTGTCCGTACGCACTTATTAAATACAAAAGCACTCTTGCGGGTTCAATTTTGTCTTTACTCGGTCTAAACTTCAAAGCATTTGTTGAGGCACCTGTTTTTGTCAGGGACCAAGTGAAAATAATTTTTCCTTTTTTGAACATGGGAACGTTAACAAGCTTTTTCGTTTGTATTCTTAGAGCCCTCCTCGAGAATCCAGCTCTGGAGATGTGTCTATGCCGGTTGCGAGATAAACAGCGTTCAGTACCATGAAGATCTTGTTATCTTTAGAATGCACGAGTACAAAAACAGGTTTTCGCCAAAGAGTCAAGGTGAAAGATGTAAAGGCAATGAGAGTGTTGCGAGGATAAAATAAGAACTCTTTGTGCAACTGTTCGGGTATTAAGGGCTCGAAAAAATGTCCCGTTCGGTCGTCCAGAGCAAGACGTAGATTTTCTTGCTTTTTAAAGCTCACATGCCCAGTAGGCAAGGGTTGCAGCAATTCTTTTTATAACTTAAGTATTACCTAAGAAATATCATCAATATCAAGAAAAATTAGTATCTCCAAAGGACAAGCTGGGATTTTTTTCGAGTCCTGAGGTGTAAAAAACCAATATAAACTGTTTTTCATCAGTGCTAGCTTGTAAAGCATAGCACAAGAAAACATAGATGACGCTTGTTTATATTGAGGTAGTGGATAAAACCGCTGTTGCGTTCTCTGTGGTTGTAGAATTTGAACTGTCATGATTTACAATAAACATTTCTTTGAAAGGATATCGTTTTCTTGTTGTTGTTGTTGTTGTTGTTGCTTTCTTTGTTCGTATGCTTGTATTTTTTAACTTGAATAGAACGGGACAGTTTGCCGTCGAAACATCTAACCGTTCAAAATCACTTTAGTTAATACTTTGAATTTTAAAATTATGATTCATGACTTGGTTTACGCCATCGTTATGAGAAAAGTGCCAAACTATCCTCAAAATAAATATCAGAATCAGTGATATACTGATTATAGCATAAAAGGAAGGAAAACTTCCGGAACCGTGGTTAATATAGGTTGTTTACCATTTACACGGGCAAACCGGTCGGTTCACGGTTTGGGTAAATGGTAACCAAAATTCGGAAATGGAAAAATGGCGTTTACCATATCAGTGTACAAATCAGCTCCAGCTACCGAAAAACGGCTGCGAACGCCTAAAACTGGTATCAAAGACGGCTTTAAGGAAATGGAACTCGAAAAACAGGATTACCTTTTCAGATGTTCCGTTGCTCTAAAATAGTCCTCCGGAACGACCCAAAAAGTCGTGTTCCATTTTCTTTCCAACGAAATTTTCCAGAAACTTGTTGCAAATGGTAAACACCATCGTCTCCGATACAGGATAGTATGCTACGCCAAAAGTGACAAAATATCAAAGATGCAAGTTTATAATTCAAATCCACCAATTTACTATCAAAATCGATAAAATTAACATCAATTTGCTTTATGAATGTGTCAAGATTGTAGAATTTAATTTCAATTCCCACGTGTTTCATGTCATGTATCAAGAGACACGTTTTCTAAATCAAGATGCATGTTTTTTAAGTAATGGTCCAGATAAGAAGGAAAGGACCAAAACGCAGTGAACACGTCGGAATGCAAAAAGGTGCTAACTTTACTATTGTCTCTACTAAGGTTCTGATTGGTTTAAACGTCAAATTTTACGAAATCTTCGCAAAGCAGCATGTACATCAATCCTTTTTTTTCTATCCAACTTCCTTATAACAAAATCTCGTCTGAGTCTAAGTAACACAGAAATCGTATGTGCGGATCATGTAAAATTGTGAACATTTCTTGGCCATTGTTTGCAACTCTTGTGATTGGTCGAAATGTTTTAACACAAAAATACACCCTTTAAAAGTGGAGTTTAAATACATTTTCTTTCGTAAACAGCCTTTTTGTAGATTTATGCACTCTCTGCGTAAAAATGAAAACATTTCTATGTGAGGAAAGCGTATTGCGCCACAACAATAGTAATTGCTTTCCTTCTTACCTGGATCATTACTTAAATCAAGAAGGAAGACGACAATTTTTGATCAGTTTTGTTTCCGAGAGGGACTGAAACCGAGCACACGGGTTGGAATTCAAGGTTTAAAAGTGTTGACGGGCCTGTACGATTCCTACAGTTCGCAAATAGATTGGTCTCTTAAAACTATGACGTTATAGTTTAGCTCTAACTTGAGTGTCCCCTGTAAAGGGATTTTCCTTTGCTATATGAAATGAGGGGAGGTTCCTTAAAGATGTCTCTGAGATATGGTTGGATCTGTATAAGGTGCCGTTTTCCCATGAGTATGTTCTTGAGGTTGGGCAACGCAGGGTGGTATTGCGTTACAAAGGGTAGTATTTTCTTACGTACATGTACATGGGGAATTCATATTTTTACAAAGTTTTTAAAAAACCTTACTAGTACTAGTAAAAAAAGTTTTTTCAAAATTCTTTAACAGTGAAAAATATTTTTCTTTGATTTTCTCAATATTACTGTATACTAATAAATGGAAAAATGGGCAAAAAAGGAATGACTTTTCGCGAAACTCATTTCATGGTATATAAGTAAATTATACTAATAAATTGTGGAATGGGCGAAAAAGGCTTGACCTTTTAGCGAGATTTTCATTTACTAGTATCTTGACACTAATTACTAATAAATGGTGAAATGGGCGAAAAAGGCTTGACCTTTTAGGAAAATTCTCATTTACTAGTATCTTGATACTAATTACTAGTAAATTGTGGAATGGGCGAAAAAGGTTTGACCTTTCAACGAGATTTTCATTTACTAGTGTCTTCACACTATTTACTCGTAAATTGTGAAATTCTCATTTACTAGTAAATTGTGGAATGGGTGAAAAAGGTTTGACCTTTTAGCGAGATTTTCATTTACTAGTATCTTGACACTATTTACTAGTTAATGGTGGAACGGGCGAAAAAGGCTTGACTTGTTAGCGAGATTTTCATTTACTAGTACCTTGACACTATTTACTAGTAAATGGTGGAACGCGCCAAAAGGGCATGACTTTTTAGCGAGATTTTCATTTACTAGTACCTAGACACTATTTACTAGTAAATTGTGGAACGGGCGAAAAAGTCGTGACTTTTTAGCGAGATTCTCATTTCCCGTAGCAAAATCCTGTGTGACTTCTGAACGCTAGAGAGATTTATGAACTCTAAATGGAACAAGACGACTACGTTTATTCCCACGCCCAGAAAAGACAATGGAATTGCGAAACGCGTTCTACAATTTATCAGATATAGACTCTAAATAAAAATATAGCTTTACTCGATGTCTCTAGCAGACCCCGGGAGAGAATTGATTACATTTATGGACTAGCAAAGTAAGCTTCACGTTTACCCAAACATCAGTAACAGCTTTGTTCCTGGTCGCAATCGTTGCCCAGTTATATTTAAAAGTTCTTAATGATTACATGGGTGCAGGGTATTTGCCTTATAATTGTTCTGATCTCTTGTTGTTCATATCTAGTCAGTGTTGTTGGTTGTGGATTTCGAAACGGAAGAATGGGGATGAGGGCATTTTGTAAAGCCTATATTTAACCTCTTTCAAGGCCATTCAAAGTTGCCTGGTGTTTCCAAGGGCGGGTGTTGTTACAGGGTAACGTTTATGGGAAATAACGCAATTTCAAAAGAGGTCAATTAACGTCTCTTTACATTTCTTTAAACCCCGTTCTCTTATGCACCAAAAAAAAAAGCCTCCTTTAATATTTCTTAACTGCACAGAAATTGACTAGGCCGGGGAAGGGGAAAATGTGGAAGCGAAAAGCGTGACTGAGAAAAAACACAGCTTTTCTTCTGGGTAGACTAGAGATCCCGCCCACCGGAATAACAACAACAACGACAATAACCAACCAACAAACCTTTTTATTTTGCCAACTTAAAACTTACAAGAACAGCTTAAATTAAAAGAGATCAGACAAAAAACTACTCAGAATAGCAAATAGAACTAAACGAGCTGAGTATTTACAATAATTAAATTACCTTGTATAGGGCTGCAACACACGAACGATAGAGACTCAGAGGAAAAATATTATAAATTTAGGAGGAAGTAAAGGGTACGTGCGGCCGAAACCGGGATTTCACAATCACACAGGAAAAACAAATTACCAATTGAAACTTCCACTAAGTATCTCCTGTTAAGTGAGACAAAAGAACAGTAGAAAGTGACTTTCTTTCTCTCCTGCTTTCGAACTGTTTTGTCCGTTCCTTTTCTGTCTAAAATGCCTTTTCCTTTCATTATTATACATTATTTAAATACTAATAAATGCATTTTGTCGCTAAAAAGTCATTTCTTTTTTGCCCGTTTTTCCATTTATTGCCGACAAGGCAACCGAGCTAAGAAGCGAGGTTGCCTCGGCGGCAGATTTATAATCCCGTACGATGTCGGCAAAACCTCACAAATTTTGCTTAACCCTCTAAAATTTGCATTTTTGACCATATTTGGGTGTAAGACCCCAAATTTGGGTAGTGACGTCATGGTCTTGTATTTACAACGCGTGGCCCGAAAATTGGGTGATTCAGTGTGCAGCTGTTCGCTGTCTGTTCAAGAGGCCCTAACAGGTGAGCAAGCTTTAATACGATTTCCCGTTTGAAAGGGCTATTAGTGCTCTGGTCTGCTTTATAAATTGCATTTAAAGCAGCAGCTGATCAAGGAATAGGGTTTTACGCTCAAATTTTTGTCAGAACCAGCTTGTTCTTTGCAGCTCCATTTACAATGAGGCAGCGTGTTCGCTTCTCGACTCAGAACCAGGGTTTTCCGTGTTCTCTTTTCCTTTGTGAATTGAATTTTAAGCGCTAGTTGATCAAGGCAATAGGGTTATATTCTGAAAACTTATATCAGAACCAGCGTGTTCTTCGCAGGTCGATTTACATTGAGCCAAACTTCACCTCCCGTGAAGAATGCAACGTATTTGCGGATTTTTTTTTAGAATTTATTCATAGTGTCTAATCACCTGAGCTTTTGTCAATCAGCATGTTTTTTTGCAGCTCGATTTACATTGCGCCAGCCCAAAACTCCCGTGGGGAATACAACGAACTTGCGAACCTTTTGTTTTGAAGACTATCATAATTATGCCTGTCAAGAAAATCTTTGTCCTGTGACACTCGCTCATTAGATCTTTGTATTTTATTCAAGTTCATATTTTTATACCTCTGATACATTCCGCCCCATTCTTGCGCTTTTCACACAGTTTAATTTACACCAATTTTTTCTTATGTATATTACTACACGAAATATTTTTTTTTATCCCCGATGACGCTGTTGCTCGGAATTTAATTATTATTCTTAATTTCAGCAGTCAAAGGCCTTATTTGAACTATATTTTTCTTTCTAACGTTTATAGTTTTGATACAATGGAATTTTCCATGAAACGTAAGTGCTAACTTGCTCATGATTTACCGACAAAGCTTCAGGCTATGTTGTTATTGTTTAATAAAAGTGAAAGCCTGCTAGAGTGCGCCAAAGTCGTTGTTTTGAAGTCGGGTGCCATCCTTTTCTATAGCGGAATCCATTTTAAACCTCTAAAATTATGAAAAAAAAAAATATATATATATATATATATATATATATATATATACACATCGCGAAGATTTGAATAGGCACATTCCACTAAAGATAAACGAATTCGCCTCGTTGGCACTTGCCGGAAGGTACCCCTAGTTAGTATATTTAATCTAAATACTAATAAATGCATTTTCTCGCTAAAAAGTCATTTCTTTTTTGCCTGTTTTTT